GTGGGTGGGTAAGGTATTGTAATCCTGCACCAGGAACATGTCAGATATAGGTCTTTACTTCTCTATCATTTAATTTTCAGTAAGACCTATACTGATACTCCCTAAACAACAGCTACCCTTTTTTTAGATTTTCTGGCTCTCCCTGACCCAATTTAACACTGAATTCTTAACGGCGAAGATTTCTGACTCATCTTCAGAAGCCCTGCATGCTACCATACAGTAATAAAAAGAACTTACGGTGATGATTCCAGTATGATGCTATTAGCCTGGGTGGAAGATGGAGATCTGTGATTTACAAATACTTCACTTGGGGAAGTGTGAACTACGTGGTCCACTAAATGTCCAACTGATGAGGGTCGTAACCGGGCTCCTTCTTGAGTGAAGGCAGAGTTGCGACTAAGAGGGAAAGCATAGCAGTGCAATGTGAAAAGAATATTATTATTAATCTACATTTCTTATACCACTACAAAGGAATGCTAAAATAATTACTTCCTCCCAGTGCAAGCATATGTTCATATATATATTTTTATTAAATAATTTAAGCTTTCAAAAATCACTGAAACAATTATGTTGTCAGATCAACATCCTATATTTCATAATTTTCTTTTTAAAAGTGTTCAAAAAATATTTTCATAAACACTAAATGGCTAATATTTGTCCTTTTTTTTTTTTACTTAAAAAAATCTGAAAGTATTATGGTCCAATGAACAGGCTACTGGACTGACAGTCCAGTCAATGAGAAGAAAAATGAATCCCCAAGAAGAAAAATCCTAGCTCTGTTCATGGCAGAACTTAACGTTAATTCATTAAGATGAACATTTTATCCCCTGCACCTTCTCCTGGAAGAATCATAAGCTTTCCACTGAGAGTCTTATAATTTCTGTGACATGAAATTTTCCCATTTGAAAACTAGCATAGTGACATAGGCATCTTTCTTAAAATGCTTTGAAACATGAATGATTATGTTATGCTATAAGCACCATTATTACATAATTTTTACAATAATTTTTAAATGCTACAGATATTTACAACAACAGCCTTTTGAATAATATGCTGCAATGCCAAAGAATCTTAAAACCTTCTGGTTTATGCAATACAAAATTGGATAATACCGATTCTTAAGCCAGTTTCAACACACCGAGAAAATCGGTTATTTTCCAAAAGAAATCAGGAATGATTTTTCACTAACTACAAACATAAACCAGAAAGCTCTATCACGTGAAAAGAGTAAGCTTTGAAAGGTAATGCAGAAAAATTGAGGGGAATAAACCTGCAAGGATTTCTGATTAAGTAATTTTCCCCAATGTTTTAAGAAGTGGTATTAACCAGAATCAATTATTTCTAAAATACCACACAGATTTTACTATCAGGTTTTTTTCTTAGCCAAATGAATAATTTAGTTTTAACTGTGCTTGAGAAAACTCAAGCTCCCAAATTTAGGGTAGTATGCTACATAACACACTTTTTATAGTTTGAGTGAGAAGCACCTAAAATTCACCCCCAAATAGTTTTTCTTATCTGGAGCTAAATGTTCCAGAGAACCACTCAGCACATAATTTGTGAAGTTATTTGTCTCTATAATGCATTAATCCTTTTATTACACAAGTAGGTCACTCACATTAGAGGGAGAAAGTCACTTCTAGGGAGAGAAGATTCGATGCTACTTACTGATTTGGGGTTCCAGGTGGAGACCGTGATGGTAGGCTCTGTGTTTCCAACCTATCATCAGACAGTGAGTTCCTACTCACTACTTCCCAGTCCATCCCACTCATTAATTTCCGTGCCAAGGGTTTACTGGGGGATCTAGAAGAAGAAAGTAAAGTGACAAACCAAAAATTATATGAGGTAAGAACAAAATTACACAAAATTCATGAAACTGTGGATGTTCTATCATAGGAAACCAAATTACATGTACGAAAGGAAATGTAATAATGCAAAACTGTATTTACATGGGCAGTTCTGTATTTTCCTCAATATATTGTACTTCATTTTCTGTACTTTGTACAGGAATATCAATGAAAAACAGTAATGAAATACTGTTGGCTGGGAGTGAGACAGGCAAGATGGAAGAGGAACCCACTAAAGTTCACTAGGCATTTCTAACGTCTCAAAAAGAATCTGACTTCAACAGAATAGTCAGAGAGGTCTGAACTTAAAAATGGGGTTGGTGGGGGTGGGGGGGTGGAACACCACGCCAAAAAACCTCTAAGTAACTATTCAGCCATCTCAGGAAAAATAAAGCAGTGGAAACATCAGCCCAAAAAAAACTCCCAAAGAACTGAGAGTGGGGTAATCATCAATATGGCAACAGAGCAGCTGGGTTTTGTTTACTCATCAGTGATTTCCATCAAGGTGATATGCTTCCTTCCAGAATATGTTTTGTCACCTCTAAGGTAGATGAAACATCCTATTTAAACTTCTTGGTGGGTAACCAAACTTCATTTGGTTTTATGCCAGAAATGTCCTTCAGGTTAAAGGTCATTATCGCCACTGTTTTTATACAGAAGGAATTGTATTTTCTACTCGTTGCCCTTTCTCAATATTGAGGAAACCTTTTCTTCTCATTCTCCAGTCATCCCAGGACACGTACAATCCCCTTCTGCTGTTTCTTTCACCTATTTCTTAAGCACAAACGAGACCATACTTGCAATCTCTCATGAAATAGTATATTCCCTTTTCATACTGGAAATCATCAAATGAATCATTCAAGAATTGTGGTTGCTTTTTTCTTAGCATCACATGGGACAGTTCAGTCATCCCGCAACTAAACATACCCAGGCTTTTGCTGTTTGTTGTTTTCAACTGAAAATTCCGTAGCCAACAACAAAAATTCCTTTAAACAATCCTTAAATATATGTCCTCTGTATTTTATGTTACTGGGTTTTTACTTTACTTCTACTACTTTGATGGTGCTATGTAGTTCAAATTTCTCCTCTATCATTACCCAGCCCTCTCTTGTTCCAGTGATACCTCAATTTTATCAGTCTTTTGTGCCACAATCATTTCATTCCCATGTGCCTTTATATTCTATCACTGTTCTCTACTCTCCAGCTTTGTACAATGAGGTGACAACATATTATTGTGTCAGCGTAACTCCTCCACTTCTTTCCCCAGCTCCATACACCCATACCAGAAAATAACTTCTGCCTTTGCTGTCCTTGGGACACATGGTAACTGTTCTTTATCTTCTTCTTATCATTATCACCTTACCGATTTACTGAAAGTGCAAGTCCAGAAAGAAGGAACTTTGAGAAATTAAGGAACTACCCGCACACAAATCACATATCGTTGTGAAAATGAGAACCTTAGTTACAAATACATTTTTGCTTCTCACGGAACTTAAAACTCAATGCAAGCCACCATCTTAAGCAGACTGTCCTCAGTATTATCAAGAAGGTCTACAACAATAACCAAGCGTCATATCGAAAAACCTATCTTCACATGCAGAAATACGCAAGTCCTATTAATGTCAACAGTGTTTGTTTGATATTAAAGGAGTGGTGATCTGTGTGTTGAGGGTTTATTTTTGTTTTTACACCCCCAAGCAGTTCTGAACATGTATTGCATGCTGCTTTGCTGTTCTAAAGACTTACTGAATAATAGCTGACAAATTTCAGACAGTTAAGCAAGCTGGGCTATTCTAAACACTACTATTTCAGGTCTTACTCTACTTGGGAAAAAAATCTAATGGTATATTGATATTTGAAAACAGGGAAAATACAAATTATTTAATTCATGAGGAAAAACACATCCAGTTTCTTAGCATGTATTCTAAGCAGTATTAATTTGATAGCTTAGTAATTAGCTTGATAGCATGTCAATTAAATCAACATTTCAATTTTTGTAATTTGCTTCAAATGTGAGCAACTCAAACCACTTACACATTTTTCTTCACAAACAGCAAATTTAAGCAGTTCTGAGCAGGTAAAATAACAAGAAACCAGCAGAACTGAAATGCATGTCTAATGTTATCCATTCATTATTCCTTTATTAATCAAAGCTATCATTAGCTAGACTTCACTGACAGCATGCTTGCAGCCAGCAGATTAGCACCAAGAGCCAGCTCTGCCAAGAGGTGGATTCTACTAACCAAAGAATGGGCTGAGGGAAAAATGCAGAGGAACATAATTTATCCAATGCTCAATTAGGTAAATACAGGACTGCTGATACGGTATTTTCTGACAGACATGTAAAGGCAGCTATTGAACCTTATTTACCTTCAGTGAAAAACCAACAAGTAGACTATAAGAAAGTTGAGGGTTTTTGGTTTTGGTTTTTTTTTTTTTTTTTAAATGTGCAACAACAGTGAAAGGGCATTATCCTTGCCTGTACTAAACAAATTAAATTACAGAGAGAGAGACACAAAAGTATATAGGGAGAGGAAAAAACAAGTTTTTCCAAAAATTAAATTCTTGATTGCTGCAAAAAAAAGCCACCGCATTGTATCTTAAGTCATAGTTTGTAACTACATTTTTGAAAACTTCCTCAATCTATGCAACAAATGAACATAACTTTAAAATGAGAAGTATCCCTTTCTCCCCTACCAAAAAAATCCAATGTTAAGAAAACTCACCTTTTACTGCAGATAGGGTCTGATCTTTCAGAAATAATACCTTACTACCATGATAAACAGCTGCAGCGTTTATCAGCAAAGGTTCATTTCAATTATTTTATTAACAGCTCTAACCTCAGAGTCCCACCCACTCATGTTTGTTGCCTCCATTTCCTGTCTTTGCAGAAATTTCAAAGAAAAAATTACCACACTGCAGCACCGAACTTCTCAGTGCTGTGGCTTTTTGATACTAGTTCTCCTGCCAACACTTCTAAATCTGTTATTTTTTTATTAACTTTTAAGATATGTTGTGAACTATTCCTGCAAATTTCTCCTGTATCACTAACTCCTCACAATATGCAAAAAACTTTCTTGTGCCAGAGTGCAGCTGAGCAGATGGGAGGGGGGGAGTAAGCTGTAGAAAACTTTCTAAATGCTTTGAAAAACTTTGAAATTCTAAATTCCACATTTGTCTGCTCAGTCTGGATGCTTCCATTGCTCCTCAGCACAGGGACCTGCTAGTTAACACAGAGTAAACTATTTTCAGATATTTTTTTTTTTGGTGCATCTGCAGAGACATTCCTAAAAAAGTTGGAAGAAGTCCTATCTATCTGAGTAGGGACAGAGACCAAAAACTTTACCTGCCCCCAAAATCAAAAACAGTCTTACAAGCTATGTCAAATAAAAAAAAAAACCCCAAAAAAGAAACCACAAGTAGCAGGGATGATACTACATAATGCAACTAAAAAAAAAAAGCATGACAAATTATATTAGCTCAGCTACAGTACACAAAAGCTTTCAAAGACAGAATTTGTTTTGCATCCCACAGCTGAATTCTCACAGGAGCTGGGAAAGAAACAGTGTATTGTTTGGCAATACATGTGGGAATCTTTTAAATCATTTCTGTCCCAAAAAGAAATATAACCTGGAGCCACAGCCTTGCTTTGTATTTTGACAAGGAGTACAGCGAATGCATTTCTCGGCAAAACTGGCAACTACTGCTTCAGGCAGAGAGACTGAAACTGTATACAAATCTGCAGATACACCACAAATGACATATGCAGTTTAAAGCAATGAGGAATTATTTAACTAACCTGAATAAATGCATGGCTGAAGCAAGATTGGATTTTTTGAAACAGAAACTGCAACTTAGTGTTAGGGAGTTTGCAAATACAAATGACTGACTGAGATACCCACTCACTATGACACAATGCACATAAACTACCTTCTCTCAGCTCCAGTACACACCATCAGAACTGAACAGAATTAGAATATTTTGCAAGGACTCTAAGAGACAACAGTGCTCTCTAAGAAATCTCTCAATTCATTACTTGATCGAAATTATTTCACTTTTATTATCTACTTTCACTTTTATTATGCTCCTGGGAATTCTTATGGGTTTTCTTGGGTTGTGAATATCCTGCAACAAATGAGGCCAAGAGAATAAATGTAATGAAGATGGGGGGG